TTACCAATTAAGGACTTAGTTCGATATTGAAGAATAAAATGAGTTTTAAGACTTCTAAGGAAGCGTGGGAACCCTGGGGGGGCTGAGGATGACCTCTGACCTCCAGGACCACCTGTCTAAAAGTTCTGGACATGATGGCGAGCGTCTGAATGAGGGACCCCCCCCGGTCCTCCAGAGCCAAAGCTGAGCCTAATCAGATCGGTTGACATCCGTCTGGCCCACGCCTCACCTGTCCGCCATTGTTCTCCGTCCGGAACTGGTACTGAACGCCGTGGTCTGCGAACGCAGCCTGAGGGACGCTGGTGATGGTGACTGCAGACTGCTCGTCCGTCCCCACAGCTTCTCCTGCAGAAACAGCCGGTTCACCGCGTTAATAACCGGCTTATAACCAGTCTGCAGACGTTCAGAGCTGATCTCTGCTCATTTATGATTAAGTCGATAAATAATGCAGAGGCTTTTAAAGAGGTTCATCATGAGAAATGTTGGGAAGACCAGAATAAAAGCAGGTTTACAGGAGAAATTAAACATTTCCTTACTTCTGAGACGTAAAATAAAGCCAATAATGTTAATAAACCTTAAATTTATGTTTATTCCTAATTATTGACTCACAGATTCAGGTGACCTCAGATATTCATCCGAGTACAAATTTTAAAGTTAGGAATACAGAGATAAATACAGAGATAGAATCACAAATTTACAAGCAGAAAGACGTGCAGCTGAAGTTGGCGTTAAATGAGAATTAGCGGCTAAATGTGAGATTTTTACGTCTAAATGATTAGACTGAATGCAGGAAATTAAATCTGTGAAACGTAACTTGAAAAGAAAGCAAATCGTACAAATAAAATGCGAAAATATTAAATCTGTTAAAAAATCGAAATTTAAGTGAAAATGCACAAAAAATATGAAAAGAAAAAAAGCTTTTTTTAAAGATTGCTGAAGGGTATTTCTTTTTTTTTTTTTCAGTTTTCCATTTACAAAACAAGATCTTTAAAATAACGATGAAACAAAAATTCACTCCATAATAAATCTACAGGTTTTTGTTTGTCGGTTTAAATCCCAACTTTTGCAAATGGGAACATAAACAGAGACGACAAAACTGCATCGATATTAAATGAAATGCCATAATTCACTAAAGCTTTATTTTTTATTTTAAGTTTTATCATAAAATCTACATTTTGCAGCGATTATCACTGCAGGCTCCACACAGCCTGAAAAATCAAGCTTTAAAATAGATTAAAGGAAATAGAAAGAAAAAAATTATTTAGTTAAAACAAATAAAAGAAAAAAGACGTTTTATCTTTCCTTTTATTTGCTTTAGCAAAGTAAAAGTTTTATTTTGTTAAAACAAATAGGAAATAGAAAAGTTTTTATTTTGTTAAAATAAATAAAAGGAAATAGAAAAAGTTTTATTTTGTTAAAATAAATAAAAGGAAATAGAAAAAGTTTTATTTTGTTAAAACAAATAAAAGGAAATAGAAAATGTTTTATTTTGTTAAAATAAATAAAAGGAAATAGAAATTTTATTTTGCTAAAGCAAATAAAAGGAAATAGAAAAAGTTTTATTTTGTTAAAATAAATAAAAGGAAATAGAAAAAGTTTTATTTTGTTTAAACAAATAATAGGAAATAGAAAAAGTTTTATTTTGTTAAAACAAATAAAAGGAAACAGAAAAGTTTTATTTTGTTAAAATAAATAAAAGGAAATAGAAATTTTATTTTGCTAAAGCAAATAAAAGGAAATAGAAAAAGTTTTATTTTGTTTAAACAAATAATAGGAAATAGAAAAAGTTTTTTGTTAAAATAAATAAAAGGAAATAGAAATTTTATTTTGCTAAAGCAAATAAAAGGACATAGAAAAAGTTTTATTTTGTTCATTTTGTTAGAACAAAAGGAAATAGAAGTTTTAATTTGTTAAAACAAAAATAGAAGGAAAAGGAAAAGTTTTAATTAGTTAAAAGAAATAAAAAGAAATAGAAAAGTTTTATTTGGTAGAAGCCAGCTGAGAGCAGATAGTTGCGCAGATCCTCTCACCTTCCTGCAGCTGCACCACCTCCGCTGTTTCCTGTTTAGCGTGACTGAAACATGAAGAACAAAAAGCTGCGAATCAGTTTCAGTTTCCACAGATAACAGGTAATACCCAGCAGCTGCACAGCGCCACCCGGCGGCCGCAGCTGGAAATGAACGCAATGAAATCAAGTTTGTGCAAAACGAGCTGAAAATAGACGCTAATGTGCAGCAGAACATTTCTGTTATTCCTCCTTTTAATCAGAATAATAACTTTGGTTTAACATCTGCAGTTTTTGCAGACCCCCCCTCCCCCCACAGATCTAACATCATCATCATCATCATCATCATCATCATTTATTAAAGTATTTAATCGGTTTTAAGGCGCTGAGCGGCTCAGGGGAGAACATGTTGACTAAGGCCGAGGCAGAGCGCCTGAGGGCGGGCAGGAAGAACCGGAGCAGCTGCCTCTCACCTCACTGAGCCCTCCAGGCTCTGATCCAGCATCTCCATCAAGCCTTCCCAGGATGGAAGAAACTTCAGCAGCTCAGATGGACGGAGATGGAGGCCCTGATCACGGGGACAAACACCCGGGTCATGTGAGGAAGACAGTCCCGGACACGTGAGGCGCGCGGCGGGTTGGAGCGCAGCTGGAGGCCGCAGAGGAAGCTCCGTGAGCGGGGGGACCGACAAGGAGCCTCGGCCTGAGGTTCCGTTCGCTCCGATCGGCTTTAAATCTCCCGGAAACCCGAAGTGAAGCAGAATCCTGGTTGAAAACAGGCGGATCCGCTTCTTTTTGTCCTCAATGTCCTCTGAGAGCGCTGCGCTCCTTTCTGCGCCAAAACTGCGGCGCTTAATGCGCGCAATAAGACGCGGAGTGGACTCATCTGCGCTCCGCAAAGCGCAGCAAAAACAGCATTTTAATGATGAAATGTTTTATTTTTGTTCGGCTAAGATATCAGATGTTGTTGTTGGAATCACGTGACGTTGATCCGAGCCGTTTTAACGGCCAAACTCTGTTTCTCTTCGCTTTTCTGTGACTTTCCTTCAAATTAAAGGGATTTCCTCTCAGATTGGGACTCCTGCGTTTATCTAAATCGGTTCGCATTTTCTAAAATGACACTCTGCGTGTTTTATCCCACATATTTGCTGACACTCGGTTACTCCGTGGATTTTTTTCAGCTTCTTCACTCAGGTGACCACAGAGATCCAATACGGGTTTTCTCAAAAACCACATGACAGAAATCAGCCATGTCTGCCCGGAAAACCCGCTCACGGCTCGGTTTCATGGCTTTATTCTCCGCCCTGACGCAACATTTAAGCGTTATTAGCGATTCACTGCGCATCCGATACTTTAAGTTTTGTTGGGAGGGAATAATTCAGGATTCAAAGTTCGAGGAAAACATGTCTGCGGCTCCTCTGATCGATCAACCTGCTCTTCAGCAGATGCGCCACAAGATGGCGATGTAGTTCAAACACAAAGATAGCCTGATGTTAGCTAACACAGGGCAACCCGACGCCATGTTGTGAGTGGCAGTATGATCTACTGTTCTAGATGGCTGCTTCCGCGGCTTTTACCGCCGTACGCTCTGTCGCTTAGCAACCGGGACATTTGACACACAAAGCAGGAAAAGAATGAATAACTTTTGAAAACTGTTTCTTCTTAATTTTTTAATTTTTTTTTTTTTATTGGAAAGCAAATAAAGACTTCACCCATGAGAATCCAGAGTGGAATAAAGGTTCCAACCACCGGGAGCAGGAACTAATCAAATAAAATGTAATGATAGAAACCTTAG